AATTTTGCATAATCAAATAAATGAGCTTGGTTAGCACACAGTTATTGAAGAAACTGTGCCTTAAAAACCCAGAACTTAATGAGATTTTAAAAATCGTGTTACTTTGCTTTGTTTCATAGATACCATACTTAAAAAAAAAAAATTGTCTGTTTTATTCTACTACAAAAACTCTACCCGTTCCAATTTCTTTTTTTGCTGTTACTCACCTGACAGCAACTTACTATTTTACCTCAACCACTGCTGACCAAGCATTCTGATTCTGATACACTGCACCTTCCTTCCATTTACAGTATCTTCCAGACTGTAAATTGAACCAATGAAGTAGTTTCATCTTCCTTTCACGAAACAACATAAGAACATGGAGCATTCTTCAATTCCTACCAAGAAACTGAGAAAACAATTCAGAATTTGTGGAACTGTAGTCACACTGAAGTTACACTGATGAATTTACAGAACATATTTTGTCCATAATAACTGAACATAATTTCCCCTAGAAAAACATATGGATTTAAAAATGTGATCATAAATTCAAAAATCTAACACTTGCCACCACCTTTCCAAAACCACTGGAGAGTCTGGAGTAAACTTCAGTAGTTACAATGCATTTTCCAACCACTGTTAAAATATATTAGCATTACTTCTTACTCTGTTGTCAGAGTGGTTATCACACACTCTGTGCTTCAGTTGTTGTGTAAATACCAGGGAGATACTGAGGCTCAACAGACACATTAAGATAAGTATGCCCTAATGTCCTGTGAACTGAGGGTCATTTATTTTCTAATTTCTAGCCTATTAAAAAATTTCTCTCGCCCATTTACAAGTCATTTAAAGGCAGCGGTTTTCTGGTTTTGGTTTTCCCTTAAACCAGAAAGATGCTGTCATCTTCCTAGACAGAACACTGCTCTTCAACAGCTCAGAAGAGAGCATCTCCTAAGATTTTTCACCATGAAAAATTCATGCCACTGTACTGGCACATTGCATCAGGAGTTCTAAGAGCTTTTCCTCTGAGACTACAAATCCTTGGCTGGCCAGGCACAGCCTCTCTATTTAGGAGAGCTCTGAGCACTCATCCTACTCTGCAAATCTAATGTAAGTAAATATGGTAAAAATTCTACAGTGTCAATCAGCTTGAATCTAGAAGAGCAGATGCACTTTGAAAGCCTCTTTACCTTTAAAAATATTGTTTCTCAGTGAGTGATATCTCCAGATCTTTTAGCTCTGAATTCTTTTTCCTGTACTAAATTAATTTCAATGTATCTATATAAACACACATTCAGGTAAGAAATATATAAAGATACCATATAGTAGAACTTAAAAGCTGTTTTACATATGAAGTATTTGGTTTTGGTAAATTTAAAATTGAACCGAGACTTAAAGAGTAGGTAGCACAAAGCATCATAACCCCTACGGAGTGCTTCAATATTCACTGCTTTCTTCCTCAGCTAGAAATGGGCATGCTAAAGATGCTGAAATCTTCCCAAAGCCAATGTTATCCAGTAATCCCCCCTTGATGAAACAGCACTGGAATGCAACCTGAATTCTGGACTCAAAAAGGAGATCAAAGTGAGGCACTCATTCCTCAAACAGAAAAAGGGGAGCAGCTGTGTACTAGAGAAATTGCTTATTATGATCAGGCTCTGAAACAGTGTTAAAAACTGAAAGCTCTGATAAAAAACCTTATTCGATATACTGAAGCTAATTTTCTTCAGAATATTAAGAGACTCCTTGATTTTTTTGTCATCTTTTGGATTGAACGACATACCCAGCATTTACAAGTTTATGAAGATTCTCTGAACAGCTGTGCTTAACACCCCCCCAACACCCCCCCCCATAAAACTAAAAATCTTTTGTCTTGCTAAAAAAATGTGCACTATTCAGGCAGGTCTGGTGCAAAACTTGAGCAAAACTGAACATCTTGCCAAAAGCCTTACTTGTCACGGGGTCAAAACCAACTACATTGTAACCAAGAACTAAGGGAAAAAAACGCAGGTATTTGAAAACCATAAATACTATGGGCATTAAGAACTACATAGTCATCTAATCTTTCCTACTGACCCCCACAAGATGCAAAAATCTTGTAATCTGGTAGCGTAACAGCACCAACACAGCTATTAAGACCATTTTCTTCTATTCCACTTGCAGCATGCCTACAATTACTCAGAAAAAAAAAAAAAATGCATTTAAGCATGAGAGTAGTAAAATCACTTCTTACAGCACATCTACCAATGGTAGGATTCAAAGAAGAGCAAGTGCAAGTAAACAGGCCAGTCCTCTGATTAAAATTAAGCAACCTGTTAAGTAGCAAGGTTAGAATGGAAAGTACCCATTCTGAGATACTGCTAAGCTACAATTAAAATCTGCAAGTTAGAATGATCCTTACCATTTGCTTAAGTATTGGTCAAAGCAGAATCTGTGCATTACTGCAAGCAATAAATACCAACCCTAACAAACATTAACCTTTACTATTAGTGACTAATGATAATAAAAAGGGTATTTATATACTGTGCCCTTGCTATTTCCCTAATGAAAGTTGAAAATTACTTTTTACGATTTAATTGGTAAATAGCTTTTGAAAAGGTTCAAACTACACTGTTTAGACAGGATCGGCCCACAGTTTGCTTCTGCAGCCCCTCGGAATTTGAACTCTTTGATCTTTTCATCTCTATATATCTGAGAGGGAAGGAATCTCTTCCCATGGCTGCATAATGCCATTTCTCCATGAAGAAAATAACAGTAGAATCCTTGACCTCAATGTTTATTTTTTCCTTAAGTGGCTGAGGAAAAGAAGGATTGCTGGTAAAATTGCAGATCCTTTAACAAATTTACAGCATCCCAGAGAGATTAACCTGTAAAACAAAACTCGACAATAAATGAAGATAGTCTTCCATTTTCATAAGGAAACACAACCTAGTTAAGGTCAAAGCACTGGCAGAGATTTAAGATACCTACTTAACAGTTGGGAACTCTCCAAATACACATTCCAGATTGATTACAGAAAACCGGTTCCTTAAGCAAAATCTCAACTTATTTTCAATGTTGCCTTTATTGCATCTGAGGAAACAAAGGCAAGTATAAATCTGATGCACAATGAAAAGACATCTGGAAACATCAAGATGTGTAGAACATATATATGCATGAAAAAATGCAAAGATTACCTACATTTACCTCTGAAAGAATTCCTAAGCAAAACTTTACTGAACATAGAATTGAAGATGACACACTATTATCTTTTAATCAAAATTACGTAAGTTTTTTCCCCTTCTTGTTGTTGGTCTGGAAATTGCAGGATAGAGTTAATGTGAAAAGTGTGTCTACTTCATTCTGAGGGACGCAGTTAGCCCCATAATATGATTCCATTCTTTTTTCTTTTCACATTAGCTATTTCAATAGTCTTTGGGGCATTTCAGAAAACAACAGGAATGGTAAGCAGATTATAAATCTTCATTTCAAAATTATCAGCTATAGAGAACATAGAACTATATTACATAGCATCTGATACCACATTTAGGCATCTGCAATTGATGGATAATGAAACATTAGTTTATTTAATCCTACATCACAATTACCATGAAAAATATTTTTGAAGTCCTTGTAAAAGATGCAGAAAAAGGAGTAAGTTGCTAATAACTGGCTCTTCCTATCCTTGGAATAAGACTATAATTTTAACAGTCTCTATTATCTATCTGTAGGAAAAAAAGAACTTTTGTCCGACCATTGTTCATACTGTAATTTTTGAACAAGCAGTTAGTTAAAATGGCACAGCTTCTATTGAAGCTTAGCTCTATTTATGTGAGAATTAAACAAGAAAAAAAAAAAAAGGGAAGAATAAAGACAGTGAGGAAAACAATACGGCTTTGGTTTTGGTTTCAGTACTGACATTAACTGGCAATCTCAGTCTTTGAGAAAGACACTCACAGAACAATCTGGCTCAACCATCACAACACATGGCAAATATAAACCAATGTAAGTCTGTTCAACATTTTCTTAGAGTCCTTTTTTAGTCACAGATTCACATCAACATTAAAAAGAAATGAATTCCTGTTGATTAAGCCTGCATGCTTAAACAGAAAGTTAAAAAGAAAAACATCTGTCAAACCATGCCAGGATACATTCTTGTTGATACTTACCTCCAACAATTCTGTCATATTTCCAATCCTGTAGTACAATTGTTCATGAGACATTATCTTCACAAGATAACAAATCTTTACATCAGTGACTAATGCCAGTACATCTGAAAAATGTTTTCTCCAGTTAGATTGGGTTCATCAGGACTTACTGGTTTCGATGTTTTACAGGAAAGGAGGTGTACAACTGCATTGCCAAAAACAATTAAGTGAAACATGATTAAGGGTTTTTTTGCAAATATTTTAGGGATGATTAGCCAGAATTAAAGAAGCTACCTTATTTCACAGCATTCAGGGTAACAATACCTTTTTCCTTGATATACAACTGCATAGAAAAAGAGAATGGCATTTTTCACTAAAGCAAGATTTTTAAACATTTACAAAAATGAAAAATTAATTGGAACAGCAAGTGAAGGGAACACAAGCTGCCCACTCAGCTGCCTTCAGGTTAATGAAAAACAAAGGAAAGATTTTTGCTCACACTCCTCTACCTTTTCAAGATAAAAACATCAACTATTTTTATATGATGCAGCTAACATCTGGACTGATGTCTTTAATGCACCCATAATATGACAATTACTTCTAAGTTATTTTTCCAAACTATTTCTCAAATTTAAAATTGCTTGATGTAGTAACATCAGAATAGACCCTTCAAATTATGGTTCACTCTCACTATGTAACATACTACTTAGGTACTGGACAAACATTCTCAAGAATGGAACAAAGACTTTTTTTTTTTTTTAAAGATAAACTAATTGGACTATTGGTTTACCTGTGGTTCCTATCTCAAAGCTTCATGGCTGAGAATGGGTTTAATGATTACCTTTTATAACCTCTGTACTTAAGCTGCTGCTGCTTCTGCGTATTCTGGTTTCAGACATGGACAAGTCCTGCTGTCTAACTGGCTGGTAAATTTAACAGGAGAAATAAAGAAATACACTATACAAAGATTCCTGGAGCCTCATTAACACCAAACAAATATAAATACGTAAGGTAAGTGAAAGTATGAATTGCTAGAAGACGATGACTAAAACATTCTAAATACAAGACTTCAAGGAGAAGTTGGGCACAAAGCTGTAATAAAATTCAGTGACCCAAGCCCTGCATTCCTTATGTGGGCAATTTTCTATTGTAGGTTTAATCTTAAAAGTTGGATTCATGATGATTTCTTAAAAAAAAAAAAAAAAAAACAACATCTGAAGACCAGCAGTACTGAGACAGGGATTCTGTCAATTTAAAATGCTACAAATTTTGTAAGCAAGAAATACTGGATACTAGCTAACTTGCCTAAAAATAAATAATTCCTAATTTACTGTATATAAATGCAAAATTATCTTCAACATTCATATTCTAGTAATTATAGCTGTGTAGGGTGTGAGGACAGAAGGGACTTTTGACTGACTCATCTTTTGAGAATCCGGACCCAACCTGATCTACTTCCTTCACTACCTTGGGTTGTATTTTATTCCAATCCTATGGGAAACAAGCAAAATCCTCAGTAAAAAGGTCTATAAATTTAAATTTGAAAAGAAACTGTTTATATTCCAAATCTAAACCGAACAAAATGTTCAGAAGATGTTTACCCTGAGTCAACACAAAGACTGGTGACTCTTTTTGAGGCAAAGAGCTGCTAATTAGACAATTACAGCACACAGCGCTTGGTTTAGCAGATACTTGCATCTCCAAGGAATTGAGACAAGGCCCAGTTTGTCCGAGATCAGAAAGAAGCTCTCCTAGATAAGAAAACAGACTAGCTTTTGGGAGAAAGATTAAATCTGTCTGGACCTCTGGAGGAATTCAAAGGAGGGACTAGCTGTAAAACCTAAACGCCAGACAGAAGGTACAAAGACATTCACTGCCAGCTGGGTATGAGACAAATCCACTACAAGTCGGATGGGTGAGAAGTAGAGGCTGGGTGAAAAGTAGTCGTAACGCCTCTTCGATTTAATCTCCCAGTAGGTATAGGTAGTTAGATGGAAGTCCTTTGCCTCTGTGTGTGTGTGTGTGTGTGTGTATGTTTTCTGGCAATATTTATCTACAGTTTTGGACCCATATACCTCAGCAAAACTCAAGCAAACAATATGCTAAACTGATATTTTGTTTTTATTTCCTTAAAGATTTCAACAATTAAACCAAATGAATCAAGAAAGCTTGAGGAAAAGAAAAGGAGAGGACAGCGGAAAAGAGGATGGACAATCCATTCAGAGTCATGAACCCCAAGCGATGAACCTACAAAAGCAGGTAAAACTTGCTTTTCCCTCTTTAGTCTGTGTCAGAGGGAGGCAGTAGGGGGGGTACCTGAGCACAATGAATGCATCATCATATACAAACTGCAATTGTGTCCCCATTTAGCACTGAGGTACTAATATCTTGACACTGTGGTTGGTTTACATTTTAGGAAACTGCTAGTTACTAGTTAAATAGCACCAATGCAAACACAAGTAAAAAGTAAGAATATGTATTTTTTAAGTCTTTGGATTATTTTTGTATCTGATAACTTCAAAGTTGATTAAGTGAGACACTTCATAAACTTTATTATTTCTTTCCACATGCACTTCTCAGAGGCTGAATTGAGTTGTTCAGCTCATTGCTTCTGAATGTTTGTTAGTATTTATAGCTGTAAAATAGCCACTGGCAGAAAAAGACAAGTTGAAATTTGTCTCCTCCAGAAAATTACAGACTCTTCAGAAAATAGGCATGCCACTTGCTCTCTGACAAGTCTCTCAGGAGGCAGTGGAATTCCTCTAAGTAACATGGAAAAAGATTATGTGGATTCAGTTTGGTGCCAAAACTGGCAAAATATCAATGATGTTACATTAGCTATAACTAAGAGGAAAGTAACACATAGGTCACTAAAGCCAGGAGAACATGATCTTTTCACCACCTAGCAGTATCAAGATAATTCCTGTGCACAAATATCTGAAGCAAGGAGAGGAAAACAACTGCTTAAAGGAGAGAAAAAGTCCAACTAAAAAAGCTAATTTTGAAGCTTAGAAAATTCAGAATTTCTCAAGTGCTCATCAAAGGATTTCAGAGTTTAATCAGAGTGGAAAGGGGATGTTCACCTGTACAAAGTTAGATTTGGGACCTACACAATCCAAAGGATGGTTTAATAAAATAAATACACAGGCAGGCAAAGTCCAAATAACTACTTTTGGAAACAGCATGAGTACATCACAATGTGTGTATGCATCTTGGAAAGAAACAGAACGTTCACATAGTTTAATTTATTATTTCATAACAGCTGTATGTTGAAAGCTGAAAAAATAAATCAGTAATGACAATAACTGTAACTGTATTAAACTGAAAGGTATTTACTAAATTATTAGAAATTACCAAAATGTCTCCTTTTATTTCAAGGTGGGCCTCATCAGTGGAATATGTATGATTGTTGGTACGATTATTGGCTCAGGTATCTTTGTTTCTCCAAAATCAGTACTTGCCAATGTTGGAGCTGTGGGTCCTTGTTTAACTATCTGGGCAGCCTGTGGAGTTCTTGCAACATTAGGTAAATGAGTCAAAGAATTTGAATCTTTGCTTAAATCTTTGTATCTACTATTTCTGTATACTACAGTCATTTCACAAATTGGCTAATGGCACCTAGACAATTAGACCCTGATAAATGTAGCAGCATTCAGGCAAAATTTAAAATATATGCTGTTTATAAAAGATAAATTAAGTTTTAAAAATTGTAAACCCCGTTTTTAGGTCATTTTAAAAGCAAGTTTTAGTTTTGCTTACTTCATCCACTAACTGTAATAAAGAAAATAAAAGAATAATCTTATACTTAAGTCAGAAACAAAAATGTGAAATTTACTGGCAGTGAGCTAGGTACTTCTGCTATTTTTCTACTTGTGTAACTGTGCAAATCTAATATTCTATCATCTGAAAATATAGCACTAAGAACCTCAAAGTATTTCAAGTAGTAAAATAAAAAATTCTTTGGGCATTGTGTCAGGTACATAGCATATACAAAAGACCTTTAAGCAAAATGACAGACACAGCAATAATCCTTGAACTACCATTGTACTTTAAAGCTGAGCTTAGTAGATATTTTACTTCAAAATTGTGCAGCAAGTCCATCTTGTTTTTCAAGTTTCCAAAAGGTAGTTCAGCCAGTCCAGTTATCACTTAGATGCTTCTTATAATGTTGGTTTCTTAAGAAGAAATCTAATACGCAATCAGAACATTTGTACTTTATTTGTTTAAGTCTTAAAACCCAAATAGTAGTAAATTCTGGACTGTAACTTAATAGTTTCAGTACGTATTACTATATATGCAAAATAAAATTTTAATTGCTTGTGAGCAATTGGAAAAATATACACTGAAACATGAAAAAAGGGAATGATACATTGTATATATCCATTTCCTTAACTTCACTACCTATTAAAAAAAAGTGCTAATCTGCTCTAGCCAACCATAGTTTTAAGAAGTGCATGAACTAAGTAACTAATAATTGCTTTTCTTGTCATTCAGGGGCACTTTGTTTTGCTGAGCTTGGTACAATGATCACAAAATCCGGGGGAGAATATCCTTACCTTATGGAAGCGTTTGGCCCAATTCCAGCATTCTTGTTTTCTTGGACAAGCTTACTCGTCACAAAACCCAGTTCATTTGCCATCATTTGTCTCAGCTTTGCAGAATATGCATCAGCTCCTTTTTATCCAGGTTGTGATCCACCCCAAGTTGTCATCAAGTGTCTTGCTGCAGCTGCCATTGGTAAGATCCATACTTTTTTTAAGAAAGAGACAAGATCCATAATTGCACAGCAATTTCCGTTCAGCCCCATCTGTGAATGCATTTCAGCACAGTAAGACTTCAGCAGGTTAATCTTCGTGAATACATCAGGAAGCGACCCTACCCTGAAAGGAACAGAAAACTCTGGAACACAGTACAGCGAGTCCTTCCCACAATAACCTAATTCAACAACATACAAAAAGAATAGGTTGAAAAATGGTCTGTTCGTAGTCTCAGTTTCTTTTGTTCTTTACTGAAATAGATACAGCTGTGGAATGAATGCTTATTGCTAGCAGGAACGGAAGAAAAGTGTGAAGATATTATTTCTGTATTTATCAGAATGCTGTGCAACTTTTATATATATTTTTTTTTGTTAAAGATACTATCAAAACCTCATAAAACTGTTTTTTCCTCAGTATTTTAAAAGCTATCCACACACAGTATGTTAAAAACCTTTATCAATAATATAGACAAACAGTGGGAAGAAAAAGTAGTACGGTAAATAAGGGGGTGGAGGAAGTTTTAAGAAGCAACTTTTCTTTCAATTCCAATAAATTTAATACAGAAATTCATAAATTTATTTATTTCAGTGATAATTACAACAGTGAATTCCCTGAGTGTGAAGTTAGGAAGCTATCTCCAGAATTTTCTCACAGCTGCTAAAATGATCATTGTCACAATCATTATCGTAAGTGGAATTGTTCTCCTTGCACAAGGTAATTAAATATACTTTACTTGCAAAAATTTTAACTTTTGCTTATGACCATTAAAAAGTTTCCCACTGAAAAGAAGTGGCACAACAAGAAGTCTCTCTTTGTTCAGTGTTTTAGTTCCAGATCTCTTGGGAACTATGGTTATTTTCTTTTAGAGAAAAGAGGGTGGGAAATGCAACATTACAGATTAATTAATAAAAATTGGTATTAATTCATTTTAACGAGATGCCTCAAAACATGAAAGATGTAATGCTTCTTCATTGGGTGGGAATTAAAGGAACTATTTTCAACACTGATTGGTAATCTATATCTTATTTGCAGGAAAAACGGAAAACTTTAAAGATTCTTTCAAGGACAGTAAAATTTCTGTTAGTTCTATTGGTCTGGCATTTTATAATGGACTCTGGGCATACGATGGATGGTAAGGTGTCTTTACCAGCGTTGACGGTTAAACTGCCTTTAACTGGTTTACTCTCTCCCTGTAGAACTCAAAGATGTGATCTAAAAAGTTAACATCTGACTTGTTATTAAGAATGTCTTAATGAATCCTGGAAAAAGAACAGCAGTTTTGTTAAAAAACAAAACAAAACAAAAAACCAGAAAAACACAACCAACCAAAAAACCCCCTCAAACACCCAAATCCTTAAGTTGCTGTTTATTAGGGAGAGAAACCATAATAGATCCTGAAAGGGCTACTGCTTTGCTGTTAAAGGTGATCAGACACTGTGGTAATGAGAAGAATGCAACGGAGTTTAATTCCGTTATTTTAGTCAAAACAGCCTTCCCAGGGCCCCTACAGATTGCCCCATCAAATTCCATTTCTTGAGAAATACACAGTGCTGTTTGGTTAGTACAGAACATTTACAAAAAAAAAAAAACAAACAAAAAAACCCAAACAAACCACAAAAACCAAGCCTCAGCATTCATAAGGTTCAGCTTTCAAATTTTTTCTTGTTCTGTTTCATTTGGAATTAATGCAAACACATTGAAGTTTTCTTCCCTGAGAAACTCAATTTTAAATCTCCACATCCTTTTATCCAGTATTATCTACCATGCTAGATTTAAGAAAGAACTTTATATTTGAAAATAGTAACAGATATGGTTGGATTTAGTTTTTACATTTATGTTCTACATACAGCATTTATGTTTAATACTCATAAAAGTGTTTTCCAGAATTATTTTCCGAAGAATAAACTTATTTACCAGCAAGAATTTCTCTCTGCCCCAGTCCAGAAAATAGTTTACATGTTTCAGTTCCTGAAACTAAAGGGAATGTCAGTCTAGGGCTCCACTGACACAAAACAAGTATCAAGGTCTGATCCATTAATGCTATTCTTAAATGTTCAAACTGTCAAAGTTTGCATATAGAACCCTATTTTGGAAGAGAGTAAGAATATAAATCTTGCAACAAAGCAAGTCCCATTTAGATGCCTTAAACTGAATTTCTTTTTAAATGGATTACTCTTTCAGGTTCTATTTCCAAGCTTGAATGTCTCAACTCAGGCATGGAAGTCTGCTAACTCAAACATTCACCTAGCTTTTTTATGGGGGCATGGAAGTTGGTGTCTAAATAATTATTTCAGTATGTAACCACCAGGCACCGATATTTGAAAATTAGCCTGTTGAACTGTAAATACCAACTCCTCCCCACATTTTCAGAGGATGAGGGGTAAAAACCTTGTTTCAATTTGGCCTACAAGCTCTAGCAAAAATTAGTATTTGGAAATAATTCTGATAAATGTAATACTTAAAAATGTTTTCATGACAGTTTTCTAGTCAGTATGACTTGCAGAACAATCGTGAAACATTAGCAGACTTGCTTCAATCCTTGCAGGTGTGTGCTTGTGCTTTTATTTAAAAAAACCCTCAGATATAGCAAAACTTGAAGTTCAAAGGCAGTCTTGTAAATTTGAGACAAATGTCTGCCAAATTTTTGTTTTTCTGTGGTATTTCACCCAAGAACTAAGACAATCTCATTTCAAAATCTCAAGAGATACTTCTAAAACTGTGAGGAGAAAAAGATAATGGAAAAAAAAGATGGTATATCAAGAGGCTGACATTTGGATAAGAAGCTCACATAGTTTTTTGTCCTGCAGTTTTATCACTTAAAAAAAAAAAGATGCAACCAATCTTTTAACTGAAAAGGTAAAAAACAATAACACAAGAAATAACACCTGACTTCATAATATATTAGTATTTCAACATCTGACTGCTAATAACATAGTATGACTGTTTTTCCTTCCAGGAATCAACTCAATTATATCACAGAAGAACTTAAAAATCCTTACAGGTAAACTACGTAGGAAAGTAGTGTTTCTGATGACAAAAATCAAACACTTAATATTTTTGTACAAGCAGGCATACATTTTGGTTTGTTTTTAAAAGCAATGGTTATTCAAGGTTTGAGCACTAACAGACCAAGCTGATTACCATCTATTACAGGCTCCGTAGATTTGCATAAATTTGTTTTTTTCCTTTTGTAAAATCCTGATTTCCATAGCTCTATAATAAAGAAATGTAAATACATCTAAAGAGCATATGGGGAAAAGTAAGAGTCCACAGTTTACTTTAACAACTCTACCAGTGATATAGCAATGCTGATGGAGTCTTACTTTTGCATTCTTTAGAAATCTACCGCTATCTATAATTATTGGAATCCCCTTGGTTACAGTTTGTTACGTTCTGATAAACATTTCATATTTCACCGTAATGACTTCAACAGAACTCCTGCAGTCCCAGGCAGTTGCTGTGGTAAGCCACTTTATTTTGTAATAGAGCATCTGGAGAAGGCTGTTTGCATTAAAAAGTCATGAGCAAAAATGAACCTGCAAATTTTTTTAAGATACAATTAATTTCTGTCTATGCTGTCAGTGTCACCTTTTTCCCCATCACATACTGTTATTTCTTAATCTAAAATTTATTTCAGTAATGCTTAATTTATACAGTCTTTCTGTCATATCCCAAGAGAAAAAATAAATAGGAAGTAATGCAGTCTTCAGCTAATATTTTGTAAACACTGCAGCTCAGAGGTTTACTGTTTGCCATAAGCACCAAAAAGATGGAGGGAAAAACTACTATCTGACTACTGCTTTGCCCTTTTCAGTGTTTCCAGTATTTCTGAGAAACAAACACATGCAAAATGACAATATAGATCAAAATGTGTCATTCTGGAAGTAAGAGCAAGTAGTCCATAATTCATTTCCTTCTCATTCCTGCTTTTTTTCGTAACAAAGCTAAGAAATATCCTTTTTACATTATTGCAAGATATACCATTACAGATAAAATTAAAGATTATATACATTTTTAAAATCTTAAACACACATATCTATCCCTTCAACTACACTTGGCAAATTTTCCACGTGACATTTGCCTCAAACAACTGTTCAGAGGTCACGCAGCCGTTTTTCCCAATGTTAGTTTTTGAGGAAAACAAACAGTATGTGACATACATGCAAAACACAGTGTAGCACAGTGAAGAAGTACACTGATGTAGGAATAATTAAAAATTAAAAAATAAAGTATTTTAAAATGTAGAACTTTGATGCATTTCAGCATTTTGTTTGCATCAAGAGGTACAGCAATGCATATATTCAAGTTACGTCTCCTTTAAGAACTAATCCTCTTCAATATAACACTAAACTCACAATCTGAACACTACGCATCAGCCAGCACAAAACTCAGATTAAATTAACAAGAAAAATCCCAGAACTGCCACTCAGCAGTATGAAAGCAGCAGCACAGAAAGCAAAAGGAGTGCACTGTATGAAGAGGTCTATATGTCTGTAAGTAGACTTCTTGCTTAGCACTGACGAGTATCCTACTCCTGGACAAAGAAACAATGCTGATATTACCAGAACTCTTTATGCTTGACTTACTAAAAAAAGTTATCCACTCCCCAACTTAAAACCCCAAGCCTACCCGCCAAAAAAAGTTTTAATGCAAATTAATTTACAGTAGATAAATGTACCTACACGAAACCTAATCCATCCTGCAGTAACAATTAACATAGCATAGCACAGGTAAAAACGGAAGCATAGTGAAAGACCTTAGCAAGTTCGTCCTTCATGCAGTCACCTGTACAGCCTCGGTTGTCATGCCGTCACTGCTAGTGTCACTCCTTCTATATAGGTTGAAACCAGTTTGTGTACGCATGGCGCTCTGCTGCAACACTACCTTCCTTTTGGTTTTGCAGACATATCCCCAAACCCAGTGTCTTTAACAGATTTTAATTTCTGTATATTTTTTACGTCTCCCAATGTTTCCTACAGATTCTGCACCTCAAACACCACAATATTCCACTCTATAATGAGTGCTTCATGAATTAATAATCCAGGTCTTCATTTGGCATTCTTTAATAGTTACACAAAATACACGTTTTTATAGGTAACATACATTAGACTCCCATTTACTGTACTTCTAAAGAGGCTCCGACATTACTGAATATACCAAATGGTAGTTAAAATGATAAACATTTTTCATATTAATCCTATATCCCAGACATTCGGAGATAGAGTCCTTTATCCAGCCTCTTGGATAGTTCCTCTCTTTGTGGCCTTTTCTACAATTGGATCTGCCAATGGGACCTGTTTTACTGCAGGCAGGTAAGCTCCCATTCTCAGTATCTTAAAATGAAAATGTGTAAAGGATGGAAAAGTTTATACATACATTTATGTATCTACACATATAAAAATACAGACATTCTTCTGACCCAAATGTGCAAGATGTAACTAAAAAGTGCCTGCAAATCTAGCTATGTTTAATTTTCAAAAAGAAACAGTGGCTATGAAGGTTTGAAAAATTAGAAAATAAAGGTCTCTTACTCTTAATTCAAAGTAGGTATAGCACAAAAGGTTTTCTTCACCTCGTCGAGTTTAAAGCTAAAAATTCAACAGTTAAAAAAATTTACCAGTAAGAACATGACTATACCTGTAATGATAAAGATATAAATTGGAAAGAAGAGCTATTCCTCTCTTATGAGTTGTTCAACACTTTCATTTGCTATTTAAAAATATTTAAAATTTCGAATTAATCTAAATATGATAGAACTGTAAAGACTTTTTTTACAGGTTGTCGGTGTCGCTTTTTGATACGAAGCAAATTAAAAGGGAAATATTTAAAGGGACACAGTAGCTAACATTTTTTCCAAATAATTTTAAATTAAGTGTGCAAACTAATGATTCTGAAATTAGTTTCAAGTTCACTGCTCTAATAGTGGTTATTCTCCTTCTCTTAGTCTACTACAATAGTTCTTAAATTCCACTGCGTATCAACGGAAATACTGATGAAATTATAGTCACATGTAGCCACACAATAAAACAAACCTGAAAATGAATGGTACTTTTTTTTTTCAGTAATACCACTTAAAGTCTAGGTGCCACACTAACTTGATTGCCTTGTTTTTGTTTTGTCAGACTTGTTTATGTTGCAGGTCGTGAAGGGCACATGCTAAAGGTGCTATCCTACATTAGTGTTAAGCGTTTAACACCAGCACCTGCTATCATATTTTATGTAAGTATATAGTCTAAGTAGAGAAAAATTATCAACAAAAACTCTCCAGTAACACATGCTTTTACGATTTCTTACCAGCACTCCTGACCCATATCTTTGACTATCTAGACAAGAAAATAGCTAAATACATATTAGGAAAAAAGACTATACAAAAAACCCCAACTCTCAATTTGAACAGTGCAATTCCACATCTGGATTTTACAATCAAAATGTTTAAGAATCCACATCATGAAAACAAATTAAGAATTCAATGAATGATTAGTATTTGGCAAATCCTGTATTTCACAGCATACCTGAAAGCAAGCTATCACTATCCTATTTCCTCCCTGCAAGAATGCATTTACATCTCACTAAAAACACTCCACCTATTCAGCAAATATATTTTGCAATAAACCTAGAATATATTGTTAATTTTATTTTACCCATTTATCATATCTTTGAGGTAAAACTTCAAAACTCAATTGCTCTGTCAACTCCCAGTTAACTTTAGCAACCTAAAAATGTATTTAGTGCCTTCCCTTACTCCAAGATATGCAATAAAAAACAGAACAGATTAATGCATATAGATTATAAATCTTTTGACTTAAAAGGTAATTAAGAATGCACGTAAAACACTGGCAGGATGGGGACACTATCTTTACAGGTGCTGCAATACACTTGCTCTCAAACGTTTAAGCAAAAGCATTCATAAATCACACTCTGGAACACTAAACATACACCCATACTGACACAAATAAATTCAGCCTTTTTTTATAATAAACTATACTAATTTTTCTTTCAATTTTTAGGGGGCCATCGCTATTATTTATATTATCCCTGGTGACATTGACACACTCATAAATTATTTCAGTTTTGCAGTCTGGATATTTTATGGTTTAACTGTATTTGCACTCATTGTTATGAGGTTTACAAGAAAGGAACTCAGGAGACCAATCAGGGTAAGTTCAGCATTGTGTATTCCTTTTCCTTCATTCCCACAAATACTAAACTACAAATTCATCCTAAATATTTGGATATTCAAACAACATCCTCAGGCAGACTCCTCCTTGTTTGTTTTTTTTTCCCCTTATCTGAAACCATTTGTTTGTAGTTCTTTGTTCCAGTTTTGCAGTAGGACAAAGCTCCTAAGGACTGGGAAAAGATTGCACAATGTTTATTTTTACTTGCACAGACCACAGGCACAAGCTGGATTTTCAGGGATGGAAAACTGCTCAGCAAAGTACCTGAAATAAGACCCCAGGTCGCTGCACTGAAGTCAGGTCCCAGATTCATAATAATGCAATTTTTTTTCACGGCAATTTGCAAGAGACAGAGATCTCAGTCTGATTTAGCAAAAGAGTTTTCCCTGTTTGTATTGTTTCTACTCTTTCAATTGCCCCATTCCAGAAGTTTTAAAAGGAAAAAATGCATAAAGCAATGAAAATATTCTTCGTTCATGTATGTAACTTCTGTAAGAACAGCAAAAGAATAAATAAGTAATTTTGTGCTTTGTCTTGCAGATACCCATCATCATTCCAGGCATAGTGACATTAGTATCCATTTTACTCGTATTGGCACCAATCATCAGTGCACCTGAATTGGCCTATTTGTACTGTGTTTTATTTATACTTAGTGGACTTATAGTTTATGTACTTTTTGTTCATTTTAAATTCAACTGGCCCCAGAAAATATCAAGTAAGTATACCTCAGATAGCCAGCTCCAAATTCATCAGACCACTGCTAAACTTTAGATTAATTACCATAATGAGGCTCATTATATGGTCCATCCCATGTTAATCATGAGTGGGGTGTGGAGGGAGGCAATTTTCCAAGACAGGTAGTGAACTTAACTAGATTATATTTTAGTCCTTACAATGGGGAAAAAAAAAAAGCCATGTCTGATTTCAGGAAAAATTAAACTTAATTCACAAAAAAGCAATACATCACTGTAGTAGCACGAAGAAACTGACTTTTAAAATGAACAGAACTACTTCATCTGTAAAGTTAGTTTTTCAACTGTCCGTACTTCAAAACACTGCTTTAGCCATTAACTGAAGATTAGCAGCCATACCTTCTTATGCCACAAAATACTGTGCTTTTAGCTCAGATTATCAATTTCACTGTACTTACTAAAGAAAATTTTAATAGCATTAAATTAAAAAATAACCACAGTGCCACCAGGTAAACTGAAAGCTGCAAGAACCCACTGTGACCATGTATAAAATAATTTTGCAGTCTCAGGAGAAACTCTGTGCAATTATCTCAGGGAAAATAGGCTACACAGACATTTCTAAATGGGAAAGTGGAACCAGCTGAAGAGGACGGAATTAGTAGTTCTACAGACATTAAAAAAAAATCCATCATCTGTACTGTCCTCTGGGATTATTAAGTATTATGTAATTGTGCAATTATAAGCACTGTACTCTAATAAGAGCAAGTTTAAAAACTTTGCAATGTTATAGCTTGGATCTTAAGATTGTTTTTATTCCTCACCTCTTGTAAGTTTGAGATATGAATACAGAAGAGAGACAACTGCTCACAGGGATAGTTTTCTCATTAGAAAAATAGCGTAAGTCTGAATAGAAATACTGTTCTTTCATAAAGCCTCTAACAGTAACTTTTTTTCCTCAGAGCCCATCACTATGCACCTTCAGATGCTTTTGGAAGTTGTTCCATCAGAGGAAGTCACTGAATAAAAGATTTTATAGGTACCAGTTTGGTTTTAAGTGCTGTACTGGTTGAAGGAGATTCAATTTAGTTTGGCACACATTTACACTTTCTAAATTGTTATGCTCCTATTGGTGTATTATTTTTGCAACACTTTAGTACTTGAAAAATGTTAAATATAAAAGACTTCTGAGACAGATTACAGTGTCTAGTAGGGCTGTTTGCATTATTTAATGATGTGTTATAACAACTTGTTTTCTGCATTAAAATTACTCAAGAGGAACTTTTAAATTATGAAGATGACAAAACTTACCAGCAGCTCTGTCAAGATGCTTTTTGATCACACTGCTAAAAAAATGAGGCAGCTATCATTTACAGCATCACACTAAACAGGCTGCACAGAAAGAACAAAAATAACAAAACCAGACTAATTCCATTCTGTTTCTCAGACCAAACACTAGCTATCAAAAAATTAAAGACTGAGGAACAGGGAACCAAGTAAAAACAGAAAGCACAGTTGACAGGAAGAGGCTGATATAGTGGTGGTGGGGTTTTTTATATAAATTAAAACAACATGATCAATTAAAGCTTAATTTCTCAGCAATCTGTTTTCTCCAATACCATCCGAGTTATAGAACAGCAAATAAATGCCATAGAAATTATACTTGGCATGAACGTGACTTTACAGAGACAACTTCATCATCCTAGAAACATTCCATTTGGTAGCTGATGAAAACACAATACCAAAAAATAGATACTACATTAGCATATAGATGCAATCAGCTTTTACATTCCCTGACCAAGAAACTTATGGATGTGAGGTAACATTCTTTATTACTGTATTTCCTTGGTGCAAATGGATAAAGAATTTTATCAAGTCACTTGAAAATATTGACAAGTGACTAATTTGAGAAAGAGTCTTTATACTGAAAGCACAAGTCCTCTCAACAACTTCTAAGCACATTTAGCCTAAATATACAACACAAGAATATTGAGTAACTGGCTTAAGATCATAAATCCATACTTACTAGCCTAGCAAATTCAACTACAGAAGCTATTTCTATAATTCTGCAGCTACAGAGAAATAAAGTTCCTATAATTTTGCATCTACCTCTGTGGAAAAGCAATCCCAAAAGTACATATAAAAATGATGGGTTCTGATTCATTTGAAGGAGATTTTCTGATTACAGTCAGATCCATGAAAGTATCAGCTGTGCAACCAGGATAAAACAAACTCAAGGTTAAGGCAATGAAGAACAAAACAAAATTCTAATTATGTTATTACATACAAAGTGTCTACTTATCACACTGTTTTGTCCCAGTCACACTATTACAATTGCTGTTTCCCTACCCCAGTTGGTAAAACCACTGCTTCAACCAGAAGGTTCAGGGAAAGACTGCAGAAAGAATACTTTTGTATAAGGAATGACTATCTACAATTCTGAAGACTGAAACAGGGATATTGATTGGGGGATGAAGGGAAAAAGGACAACAGACGTTCATAGGCAGTGTCTTAAGTGACAAGAAAATGGGAAAAGCAAGCAAAAATCTGTTCTTATGACATCTTGGGGGTACAGGATTTCAAGCAGACAGAGCAGGGATGGCTTCAAAACACAGGAAAAGTATTTTTTCACAAAATGTTGTCTGACTACTTAATTCCTTCACGTAGGAGAAAAGAACAAAACACAGGAAGGAAAACAGCCTGCCCCATCACTATTTCTTCTCAAGTAGGTGATCTGACAGTCTTCTGTTTGCATCACAATACCAAAATAGCTACATTAGCTATTTCCTGAAGTACTTCTACAACAATTACAGCTATGCAGGTACCTGTACTCAGGTGAAGGTTATAATTAAGCTCAGTTGTGGTCAGTGTTGTGAGCACTAATTTTTTAACCATACATAAAAAATTACAACTGTTTCTGTCACATGGCAGTTTTCCACAGGCATCAGCAATATGCTTAAATATTTATAAAGAAGAAGCTTTATTATATGCTAATACTAGAAAAAACATAACTGTGTAAACATATTAATATAGTCCTCCCACTCTTGAAGAAAGGCATCCCAGTGCTTCTTGAAAATGTAATCCCCAACAAGCAAGAATATTCTTCCCAGCCAAGAATACAACAAAATTTTAGGCTTCTTAAATCTGTAAAGTTAAGTCTCTATTCTAAATCACCATATAGTTATGGTGGGGACACTAATGTGCTTTAAAAATCTACAGATGCAAAGAGACAGATACCAGATTATTTTATTATATATATCTTTTAGATTACTACTTTACTGCAATGTTTTGGATGTGCACAAATTAACACTGAAAAATTATTTACTGAAAGACAGTATATTAAAAGGCAAAGTCTTAAGGCTAAACAGACGGAGATTTTATTGTTCATTTGCGATGGAGAGAAGTTTTAGACAAGAGGAATGAAATAAGAGCATTCATAAAAAGTGAAAATGCCAAACTGAAAACAAATACAAAATCTATCACAGTGCTTGTTTCAGAAAAGCTGTACAGAAGATAGTTACTACAGTGAGCTGCACTGTGGTATTTCATACGGAGTCAGCATCTTTCCAATCAAGTAACAAAAATTGCCATTGGAGTCGAGACATCATTTCTTGATGCAGAACTGCCAAATGTGATGACTGCTGACAAACTGATATTGTATGGAGGAGGGATATGGTAGAACAATTGACATGTCCTCAGGATTTGTGAAGCTTCAAAAACTACTAACTATTGCTAACACAGCAAACTCACTCAGACAAAATAAACTAGAAGCTCTGTGATTACTAATAAATTCAACTGCTTCACAATCCAAGTTTAATCTTTAGATTTTACTGTTTGGGATGGCACACGTACATACATGCACATCATTAAAGCCAACAATTTTAAAGTGAATGCACTGCCAAAGTATTCATAACATTCTTCTATGGAGTACTTCAGATTCTCAGAGCCTAAAGATAAAGAGCTTTCTCACTGTTTTCCTCCTAAAATTAAGGACATTTCTGCAACCTATGTGTTTAATGAATTTTAGTGGAGAGACTCATGCAAGAGAAACTGTTTTGAAGCATATTTCTTATCAGAGGAAAAAGATCTGTCTCCAAATTACTCATCACTTTCTGTTCCACTGTCTTCTGACGAGTCAACAAGTTCTTCGGTTACTGCATCAGTGCAACACTGTTTTTTAATACCTAGGAGTAATTAACAAAGTTTATCATCGATCAAGCAAGAAAAAACAAGTTTCAGAACAAATACGTATTAGTATTAAAAAAAACAAAATAAAACATCAAAACCCCTCACTTTAGATTACAAACTAAACCAAAACACTAAAAGCTATTTCAAACTGCTTTTTGTTCATGTTATTCTGACAGAGAAGTATCCTGCTGCCTATAGTTTGCTATGAGAGGTCCTCTCACCTGTTTTCAGAGAATTTGAGCAAGCCAGCTAAATGTCACATATGCAAAATGAGTATTTCAGGTAACACCTGTGCAAAAATGCGGATGCTAATCATTTTATGCGCTATAAACACCAACTCGTTCATTCCTTACCAACTGGAAAAGGGCTTTTATCTTCCAAATCTTCCCAGTGCTCAAAATCAAAAGATACATGTAGATTCTGTGGATAAAAGCATTGTTTGAAATATCTGTACTGATGCACAGTGAATGTGTTCAAAACACTCAGTATTTCCCAAATTAATTTCCACTTCACCTTGTTCCTCAGTAATTTGTGCCATGCTTCTTTTTTCTCTTTTGCGAGAACAATAATGGCCTCGTTATCCTTAATTACACACACAGACTTTTCTGCAAGTATATATTGATGTAGGTCCATGTCAGCCAAGTAAAATTTGTCTCCTGAACAAGCACTACATTTAAAAAAAATTAAAAAATTAAATGCAAGCTGCAGTCAAACATTTTGTTTATTATACTTAAATTTCTTAAACCTACCTGAAAACCACCTTCTCTTTAGAGAACTCACATTTAAAGTCAGCTACACTTGTGACTTTTACCTTCACTGTAACAGTCTCTTCATTTTGAAACCACTTTATTTCTGGATAAAAGCTAAAATAGAGAAAGTTCAATTTGATTTTTTCCAAAATAAAATTCAGTTGTTTTCCAGATAAGCTGTCTCACATACAGCCAGAATTCTTCTATTAGGTTACAAACAACCAGCTGAGTTTCAGCATCTGTAGGTGTATTCAACCACAGTAATCTGACATTGAACAGCAGTGTTGGGAAAGCACATGGTGGGACATCAGCCAAGCTTGCTACAAAATCACTGCAATCTCAGACTTTGGAGAAGTACATCTACTAGTGCAAGTGGGGACACACAATCCACTAACCCTGGTATCCAAAGGAATCAAACTTACTGCCTCATTTAAGGATGGTATCACAGTCTAATCTTGAAATGACAAAGGAAAAGGAAACAGTAGCAAGACCAACCTCTAAAAGACAACATGAACTTTTCAACTGACCACAGACACCAATATATATTTCCACCAGGACTAATTCTTCTACGGCTGTTATGCCTCAAACTTCCCTTAAATGCTGACAGGTTTTAACCAGTGAAAGAGAAATCCTATTAGCAGACAGCAATATCCATTCATTCAGGTTACTTTCCTTATCATACCCTCAGTCATATCCAAACCCTCATTAATTTAACTGCTAAGCCATACCTCAATGTGTATTACATAATGGAGAAAATCTTAAACTGTCCTAGCCAAGTTGCAGAATGAAATACATGTGGATTCAGTCACCCTAGCAAGAACTTCTCCAACAGACTGAAATACAAAATGCTTCTGGTACTTGCACAAGAAAATATCAATCACCCATACTAGCATTAGTAGGTATAAGATTAAGTCACCAAAGGGAAGCACTGTCTAGTCTCAATGTGTGTGAGAAATTTAAAAAGTTCTCAGGATCCACTATCTGCTGACTTTGCCCACAAACCACGCCTAAGATGTCCCCCAGCATACTCCTCATCAAAACCAAACTAACATTCATTTCTACCACATGCTTCTCAAATTATTTATCAACAGAAATTCCCCTATCCATAAAGGAATAAGGATAACAGATCCACTTTCAAAAAAGAGGAAAAAAAAGGAAACGGACCATAATTCTGTGTTGCAGACACATTATCAAAATAAAATCTGGTATTTGGGTTTTTTTGTTTGTTTTGGTTTTTTTTACAGAACAGAATCAT